TCACTTTTCAGCAAAAAGTCCATCAAAGGTTTCCAATCTTTTGCGAGCACTTCCTGTTTTATCCCTGACCAAAGAGGCCACTTTTGCCAATCGGCCCCCTTCGCAGTCTTTTCCTTCGCTGTGGAGGTTCTGACATTCCTCCACCTTGATGCGTGTAACCGTCTGGCTGCAGTTACCACGCATCAAGTCAGCCGTCCATGAGTCCTTTCTTATTGGCTGCCCATCAAGCTCAATATAAGAAAGAAAAGGTCTGGTTTCATCTTGGTGTTAACATTCTTTGCGTCTTCATCTGTATTTGTTTCCTCTTCCTTTTTCCCCCTTTTTCTCTTTTTCACAAGTCCGCCACGCATGGTAGAATATCCTTTTGTGTCTTCCAGATTTCCAAGTACCTTCCTGCATCTTAGGTCATTTCTCTGGGGTCATAAACCAACAGTGCCCCATTTTATAAAAATGCTCGCTTAAATCATAACCCTGATGTGGATTTCAGTCCTTTTCTCCACCTTCCCACCCACTGATCCATCTTTGGTATTTCGTAACCAAAGTTCTTTGCCTGTTTTACCATGCAACCTTTAAGTTGCTCCTCTTCCGTTTCGTGTCTCAAGAAAAGTTTATGCCTGTTTACAATCACATGTTCATGGCTTCTACTGTGCACAATTCATGTTCAAATTCTTCCCTTTTTATCTACATTAGGAACATGGGACAATACGTCCTTCCCTTTGGCTTGAAACCTGAAGGTGGTTTCCTCCCCTTTTATCTCCTTATAGTTGTGACCTATTTTTTTTTTCTTTTCTGAGGGAACACAACAGGTCCTAACCCGCCCATAACTTCCAGGGCAGGAATTCTGGGAGTTGAAGTCCACAAGTCTTAAGAGTTGCCAGGTTGGGCAAGCCCTGGTCTAAATGGGCACACTTAGCCCTTTGGTCCAAATGCCTTGAAGTCAAGGTAGGGATGACTCAGACCAGTTCCGTTCTCGGTTACCCACCCACCCACCCAACCGAGGGGAGGTCGATACGTGTTGTTTCCAACCACAAATGGCCGGTCTCTAAATGGTCCTAACCCTCACTCCACCATTCCCAGCATGTGCCGGGAGGCAAGCTCTGCCAAGCCTGGGCCTTCCAGGATCATCCAGGACTTCTACTACCAAGAGAATGGAGGGAGGAAAAACATCGCCCTTCCCTTGATCCCAACCCCCAAGGAAAGTGGAGACCGTGGAAGTCAATGGAAGCCGCCATCCAGGAATTGCAGGAACTGGGGGGAGTCCCGTCCAACGGGCGGAAGGGCCAGGCAGGGACAGGATGGCTGCCCCCCAGGGCTTGAAGGGGTGTCACTCCAACGTATTCTACAAGGCAGGACCCAAAGGCAGGAGAAGAGGCAAGGGATGCAAAGAGAGGCCCAAGCAAGAAGAAAGGAGGGATTTCCCGACCGTGGAAACAACCCTTGGAACAACGGCTTCCCTCCAGCAGTTGTGGCTGCTCCGTCCCTGGAGGTTTTCAAGAAGAGACCGGGCAGAGACCCCCTGCTCGGAAAGGGTCTGTGCTCGAGGAGGGGGTCGGACTAGAAGCCCCAACTCTGTTTCTCTGTCAATGCTCGATTTCTCGATTTTAAGGGAACAGGATTTCAGAAAAAATGGTGGTTTTTTTTTTTTAATAAAACAAAAAGAGCAATTATTCTGCAGTAAGAAAACCAAAAAGGACCACAAGGCAAGTGGGAGTTCCTAAAATAAGAGGACATTGAAAAAACAGTTCGGGGGAGGTGGGGGGGGGATTGTAGGCAGAAAAACCAGCTAATAAGGCTTCACAAAAAGGTTCGGAAAAGAAAGAAGGAAAGAAAGAAAGACCCAGGAGATGGAAACGGGCAGGTCGCAGCTCAGAAGGATAGAAAGCTAAAGCTCAGAATATGCTGAGTTTGTTGAAAAATCAGAATGAAAAAAAAGGAAACCTTGAAGAACTAAGAGCCAGAAAAATGTCCTTGCCCTAAAAAAGAGGGGAACGGAGAATCTCCAGGACAACCAATTTGATTTCAACCCCAAAGAAAATTTCCAGAACTGGTAATAAAGTGACCAGACTGGAGCCACCTTGAGAAATCAATGAATCAGAAGCCAGCATGGATTTTGAAGAACAGGTGTGGCTGGACTAATTTAGACTGTTTTTTTTTGTTTTTTTTTAATAATCAGGGAGCTTCCATTTTAGGCTGAACGTCTGTTGTGGATGTGACTCATCTGGGCTGCGTTGAAGCACCTGATGATGAAGAGGAGCCTCAAGAGGTTCTGGGGAGGAGGAGCTGAGCGAGCCTGGGAGGTCAGGAGATCACAGCAGAGCTGCCTTGAAAATCCTCCTCCTCCTCCTCCTCCTCCTCCACTTCCGGTGCTTCTGCACAGTCCTCCAGCGGGCCAAAGGGAAGCCTCGATGGCACAGGGTTCCGCCCAGAGGCCCCTTTCTGTCCCCGTATTTGTGCTGATGATTTGGGTGGAGAGGCAGAAGGAGGAATGCTTACCAGCCTCACAGATAGCCCAGATTTGAGTGGGTTAGCCTACCCCCTGCAACAGAGCTGGAAGGGGCCTCGGAGGCCACCTAGTCCAACCCCCTGCTCTGGCAGGAGACCCTACATCATTTCAGACGAGTGGCTGTCCGGTCTCTTCAAAGCCTCCAGGGATGGAGCAGCCACGACTTCTGGGGCAAGCAGTTCCACTGGTTAATAGGCCTCCCTGCCAGGGAGTTTCTCCTGAATTCCCGGCTGTTTCTCTCCTGGATTACGTTCTTGTCCTGCTCTCCTGTCTCCCCTGGTCCTTCTCTTCACAGGACAGGACAGGCCCCATTCCTGCAACTGTTCTTCGTATATTTTAGCCTCCGGCCCCTTAATCGTCTTCTCTGCACCCTTTCCAAGTCTGAACTCTTAGTTGAGTCTCTAAATGATCCTGAGTGAACAGAGAAATAAACTGAAAAAGGCAACATGAAATTTTGACAGAAATGCGCAAAGCATTTCACTCGGGGGGGAAAGAAATGTGCAGATAAGGACGGGAATGCCAAGACCGTTGACAGGAGATGGGGGAAAACGTGTTAGGAATTCACTGCGCTAGTTTGAACTGGGAATTCTTGGTCAAAGCCATTTCCAAATCGTAGAAAATAAGAGCTGGCTTTCTCCTCTTTACTTGGCCTGTGGTGTGTGCAGCTTCCAGGTCCCGCCTGCGAGATTCAGACGGAGGCAGCTGTACAAATGAGCCTGACTCAAGGAATGATAAAGATGCCGGACGTCAGGCTCCTTTGAAGGGAACGTTTTAGTCTGGGGTGGGGAACCATGGCCCTCTTGTGACTTGTGGACTTCAACTCCCAGAATTCCTTAGCCAGGCTAGCTAAGAAGCATAGCTTTCTGGGGAATTCTGGGAGTTGAAGTCCGCCGGTCTTGAAAGCTGCCAAGGTTGGGCACCCCTGCTCTAGAGGAAATGCCCAACAGGAAATGCAATAACATATTTGAAAGGCCTTGAAGGATATCGTAGGAAAAGACGGACGAGTCCTTTTCTTGCAACGTCCCCAGGATGGGAATGTGAAATCCTGCATTTAAGATGCAGGAAGCAAATTTGAGGGGATGTTGGGAAAAACCCCCAAACACGGGGGCATTTTGCCAAGGGGAGGCCTGGCCTGGAAAGATGGGGGGGGGGGCTTTGCTGAGGCTAGTGGGACAGCCCTCGTCAAGAGAGATCCCCACCCTGGGCAGAGGCTGGACTAGGCGGCCCTTTAGTGGCCCCCTCTGGGACCCTCACTCTCCATCCACCGGATAAAAGAAGCACAGCGTGTGATTGGGGAGGGGGGAAATGGGGTGATCTCAATTTGGGACCCGCTCAGGGCCTCTTCATTCAAGCATTGGAAGAGTTTGCAGGTGGGGGCAGGGGAAGCATGGTAAAAATATTCATGCCGTCATGATATTCTCGCTGGAAGGAGCTGCTTCGTGTGTAAGAGACGGTTCCCTTTGGGTGAAGCTGGAGATTTCCAGGCAGAGAAATGGGGGCCTCCGGTGGGGAGCTCATTCAAAGCGGCTCCTTTCCCCGGGTGGACAATCACATGACTTTGCGGGGCCCTTTGAAGTCAGCTGCCTCCCGCCTGCCTTTGAATTCCGTATCCGGAGGCCTCTCTGCCCTGGGGAGCCCAGAATCAGATCGGTCCAGAGAGACGACGACGGAGAAAGTGGGGCCAGGAATCCTCCCCCTGCCAGGCACCAACGCAGAACCTGCGCCCAAACAGTGTTTTAGCCCGCTTAAGGCTGAGGAGGCAGAAGGGGGGGCTGGTGGGGGGGGGGGGGCTGGCCCCAGCATGCAAGGTGGGGGGGAAGGAAGGGGCCTCCCCTGAGCCGGGCAGGTGGCTCTGGGCCTCTCCTCCCCATCCCGGACCTGAAATGATCTGGATTGTATGGCCATTCCCTGCTTGCTAAGAGGAGGGGCTGGGGTCATTTCGGGATGTTCTCTGCCCTTCTCCACCTCCCCTGACCCCCCCCCCAGCAGTGGGGGGCTGCCCGAAGGGGCCCCGCTTCGCCCCCCCCGCCCCTTCCAGGAGAACTGGGGATTGCCCCTCCAGCCCCCCAACCCCCGCAACCTGCTCCCCTGGCCAGAGCTGCCCTGGGCTGGGGCCGGTGGGCCATCCTGGCCTGGAGGGTGCAGAGCTGAAAGCCCCCAGAGGGGAAGGAAGCCCAGGTGAAGGCTGCCCTGCACACCCACCTGCTTCTCCTCCTGTCCAGGAGTCGGCCCAGCCGCCCCTCCTCCCCCCCTCTGCCGTACCCCACTTTCGGCTCAGAATGAAGCCAGCCCCTCTTTGGCGTCACTAGGTATAATCGAGGGGGGGGAGGGGATTGGCAGCCAAGGCTGCCGCGCAGGGAAGCTCCCAAGAGCCCCTCCCTCCTCAGAGGAGGCGGCTTCAGGCTTCACCGGTTGGGGGAGGTGTCTGCATGTGTCCGTGTCCCCCCCCCCCCTTTTGGAAGGCCCCACCCGTGACGCAGCGTCTCATGTCTCGCAGCTTCGGAAGGCCCCGAGAGCGCCGTGGATGACCGGGACAGCGACTACCGCAGCGAGACCAGCGCCAGCCTCCCCCCTGCCTACTGCGCCACCACCCAGCCCAACGCTTCGGCCTTCCCCTTCCGGGGGGCTTCCCGCCTGCAGCAGCAGGGGGTCTGCGCGGAGCCCCTCCGTGGGTATGCCTCGGACGAGCGGACTGGCACGAGGTGGGTGCTCTGGAAGGCCTGGCTGCCTGCCCACCCCACCCTGCCCCTGGGGACTCGCTCCCTTGACCCGGAGTCCTCGACTTATAACAGTTTGCTTAGCGGCTGTTCAAGTTACAGCGGCACTGAGTAAAGTGACTTGTGGCCCTTTTTCACACTTAGCGGCTGTTGCAGCGTCTCCACAGTGACATGATCAGAATTCGGACACTCAGCAACTGACTCGTATTTGCGATGGTCTCTGTGTCCCAGAGTGACGTGATCCCCTTTTGCGACCATCTGACAAGCAGGCCACATTCTCTGAACAAGCCTGTCGCTAACTTGGCAACTGCAATGATTCACTAAACGATTGTGGCAAGGAAGGTCGTAAAACGGGGCAAAACTCACTTGGCCACTTAAATTTGGAGCTCAGTTGTGGTCATAAGTCAAGGACTCCCTGTGTCCTGGGTGAAGGGATGTGGCAGGAGGAGGAGGAGGGCATTTTGTCGGGCGATGACCAGAGGACATTCCCAGAGCCAAAGGTTCCCCCCCCCACACGCAGGCCCCCTGAGCGCCCCCCCACCCGTGGTGTCAGCCAACTCTGGGTGGGTTTTTTTTCCGTTTTGGGAGCCACGGAGAGCTTCCCCCCCTCTTCCTCCTGCAGAAGGGGAGCCCAGCCGTGTCGTTCAGGAGCCCCGTAACCCCTGGCGTTTGGGGGCTCGGAGGGCGAGGCGGAGGACGAGACGTTCACTTCCACGTATTTTGGCCCATTTCAGTAACATGCCAGCCTCCCGTTAGGGAGAATTGTGAAATAATGCTCACCCTGAGCGTATATTTGCCACCAGTCCGTTTGAGGAGGGCAGATTTTACCTTGTGTGGAATCTGCTTTGCAGGAAATGTCGGAATTCCAGAACCTTCTTTGCAGCCTCCATGGCTTGGGCACTGGGGCCACATTTCAGTCTCCCTGCGACCCTCTGCGGATGGAGGCTGGATTGGAGTGCCTGTAACTGAGGAACGGCCCCTTTGACTTGAGTCTAGGAAGACCAGCCCTGGGCAGCCCACCTTCCAAGCTTGGCCCCCTGCCTCAAACGGAAGCAGAGCGAATCCCAAAGGGGCTTTTTTTCAAAGGCAACTGGACTTCCTTGGAATTTTTTTCCCCTTTGAAAATGTTTCACTTCCTGTGCAAGAAGCTTCTTCAGTTCTGACTGACTGGTGGGGGGATTGGAAGGATCAGGATTTGTTGGCAGTCACCTGGTCTTTAGCGCTCCGGAGGTTGGTCATTAGCTCTTGGAGAGTCATTGAGGCCACTTGGGGCTTTACCTGTGCCCTCAGAATCACCTGAATCAGAGGGCAAGTGGTGTAGGGTCTCCCGCTTGGGCAGGGGGTTGGACTAGATGACCTATAAGGTCTCTTCCAACTCTGAGGATCCCATTTCCTGCCTGCAACACGGTCCTTTCAGCCGTCCCAGGAAGGTTCCTCACCCATTTGCCCTCTGAGGCAGGTGATGAACCCCCAGGTGGCCTCCATGACTCTCAGAGGGCTAACGACCAGGTGACTGCAAGGAATATACTGTATTTTTCGGCGTATAAGATGGTGTGAAGGATAAGACGCACCTAGCTTTTGGGGAGAAAACCAAGGAAAAAAATCTGCCACTGGCCTCCTTGCAGCAACCAGCCTGTTTCAGCTTCAGCACAGCCTGATTAGCACAAGCAGCTGATTGTTGGTTGGATCGCCCCCCCCCCGACAATCAGCTGTTTCAGGCTGCAGGGATTGCCATCGCCTATTGCCGCCTCCGTGCGTCCAATTTTCAGCCTGTTCTGAGTGGCAGGGATTGGAAATGGGGCAGAAAATGGGGCACATGGAGGCCAAAAATGGGGCGCACGAAGGCGGCAATAGGCGATGGCAATCCCTGCAGCCTGAAACAGCTGATTGTCGGGGGGCCGATCCAACCGACAATCAGCTGCTTGTGCTAATCAGGCTGTGCTGAAGCTGAAACAGGCTGGTTGCTGCAAGGAGGCCAGTGGCTGGGAGGCGGAGGCTGAAGGGTGGGGGCCGGCAGGTGGGCGGGGCTTCGGCAGCATTCACTGTATAAGACACACAGACGTTTCCACCCACTTTGGGGAGTGGAAAAGGTCCATCTTATTCTCGGAAAATATGGTAATTCCTTCCCTCTCCACCTGAGGAAGCTTCTTGGAGGAGAAGCAAAAGGTTTTAAAGGAAAAAGAAAGTCCAGCTGCCTTTTGGAAAAAGCACCTGTGAAGCGTCTCCATAGACATCAAAGAGAGTGAAGGTTCCTTCCCAAGGGCAGAAGGTCCGAAAGGATCTGAGAAGCTTCGCACAACAGCATCCTCCAGACGTGACCCTCACAGGGCAAGGAGAGAGCGAGAGAGAGAGCGCGAGGGCCGCTGCCACGCTCTCGTTCCTCACCCCAGGACCTGCTGCCCCTCATGGCCCCAGTCTGGCTTCGGGGTCTGCTGGGCACCGTCAGGGTCCCACCTCCGCAGCCGGCCTGCCCCGCAGATAACGTCCCCATCCTGCGGTGCAGCCCCGGAGCTCTCTCAACTTCCTGTGCCGCTTTCTGTGCTTCTTGTCCCCGCCTCTCGGCCTGGCCTTCTGAAGAAGACATGGCAGCCTAGACTCCACTGGGAGTGGCCAGACCGACCTGGAATCCACATCACATTCCAGCCAAGTGACCAGCCGCCAGCTGTCCCTAGAAAGCCGGCACTCCTTAGAGTTGTCGGATAGGTGGGTGGTGCTGCCGCAGCCGCGGCTTCTGTGTCGTGTGTCCTGTGGCGTGGTGGCTCTGCTTGGCAGGGCGTAATGGTGGCGGGTCCCGGGCGGTCCCTGCTGCTGCATGGCTTCGTTGTTCAAAGGACAGGCTGCTGGTGGGAGAGCGCTGGCCCTGCAGGGTCCTGCCTGGGGGGCAGTCCAGTGGATGATTGCTGGGGGGGGGGGCAGGGGGGCTACGACAACTCGCCACTGGGCGACTCAGGCGCAGGGCAAGAGCTGCACTAAACTCGAAGAAACGGTGGGACAGAATCATGAAAGAAAGGATCCCGTGAAGGAGGGGCAAAGCGAAATGCAAATGACGAAAATTAAAATAAGTTTTAACTATCTTAAATATTTAAACGTTGAATTGTCCTGCAGCGAGTTGGCCGTGGCGAGTTGTCCCGTTTCTGATCCAAATGGCCCCGAGCGACCCCTCAATTCCCGCGACGGGCCCTCCATCGATTCTCCCCTTGGGCTGCTCGCGACGAGGGGCTTGAGAGAACGTTGTGCACAGATGGTTTGCTCCTCTTCGGCTTCCTGTAGTAAATCCGTGTGCTTTACTATGGAAGTGCTGTATATTAGTGGAATATAGGTAGGTCCTGATTGGTGATCGTCCAGAGGCCTCGGCAACTGGGCTCAATTTTGCTGTTGGCCTGAGAGGCTTCGCTGCTCCTCCCAGCAGCTTCGCCCGCCAAAGCAAGGCAGTCTCTGGACAGGGAGCGGTTGGAAAGTGCCTTCGACTCCTGCTGAGATCTGTGGCAGCTTCTCTTTGAGAGGCCCTTTCAATGCGCCCCTGCATGTAATAAATGCTTCTGAGCAATAACGCCTCACTGCAGCTCCTATGTGAAATGGCTCTGCGGGCCTCCGGGAGCTATGGCTGCAGTGGGGCCTGCTCATTACGGTGGTAATTCTGGGGTGCTGAAAAGCAGGGCGGCCCTTTGACCAGCCTGGTTTTGCTACCTCTTTTGCAGCAGTCATTAAGTGAGGACTGCTGCTGTTAAGTGAACCAGTTCTCTGCCAGGGGGCCGGTTTTGCCGAAAGCCAGAAGTAACTGCTCCGTCTTGGCAAAAGCGTCGTCATTGTGTTCTTGTGTGTATGGGAGGCTGCACGTATCTGCGAATGCGGCCTGGTGCCACGTGGCCAAAGTGTGTGTGCACGGGGGGGGAGGGGGAGACGACCGTCGGAACTTTGAATCCAGTTCGTAAGCAGCCCCCAGGTGGGAACCTCCGACAATCACTAAGTGACTGGTCCTAAACCAGTGACAAGCCTTCCATCGGTCACTCGGCTGAGTCCTGAGCCCCCCCGCCCCCCTGGCCGGGGGTGGAGGAGCCCCCTCAAGGGAAGGAGCCTGCTGAGGTAGGCAGGGGGCTGTTTTCATCCTGCCAGCCCCAGATGAAAAGGGTTGGGGGATCCTCCAGGAGAATCGCCCTGCTGGGTCTGGAGACCCCCCTCCCCCCGTTTATGGGGGCTTCCCATCGTTCCCCCAAAGGATCCTGCTCTTCCCTCTCTCTCTCGTGCGGAATTGAGAAACGATCGTAATAAGACGGGTGCTTTCTAATCATTAATCAAGGTTAGAATTAAAAGTACATCTTTTAATTATTTCATACTGGTTTATTTTTATTCATAAAGTCTGCATATTTATTCTTTGTGAAATTCTTTTATAAAAGTTACGTTAAAGTTATTTTTCCATCTTTCTTGCCTTTTCCTCCCCCCCCCTCTTTTTTTCTTCCCCTTTTTCCATTACCAGTCAAGGATCTTTAATTAGCAGTGGGAAAGTCAGGATTATTCCTTTTGACCACGATCTTGACCGAGAGGTGTCTGTGGAGGACTATGATGAACTAGGCAAACAGCTAATAGAAGATTTTTTAGAAAAAAGGGCTAGGAATTGGCAGGAGGTAAGGAGGCCTCGGTTCGCCAAACAGGGCAGTGGTGGCCATCTGAAAAATTCCAGGGCCTCACCCAAAATTTGTGTGGAATTAGCACGCCCCGACGCCCTGTCGTATCCAGCGGAATACGATACTATAGACAGGAGAAGGAAAAAGAGGCGGAGAGACAATGCAGAGTGGAGTGGAGAAGGTCCACTTGAGTGGAGAAGGCCTCAAATCAACGGGAGGCTGAGAATCCCCCACGAAATCGTTATTTCTGGAAGCAGCAGGAAAACAAGAACCGAACGTAACTCCAGTTACGAAGACGCTGATCTGTATAGCCGCCACCTCCGGCCTCGGGATGTTGGGGCTCAGCGGCCCGGATGTTGGGATTTGCTTCCATACAGAGAGACCCCCCTGGTCCAAAGCGCCAGGTTCTCTGACAGCCCAGAGAGAAACTGCGACCCTCAGCCAGCCCGTTTTGGAGGTGAAGACTGGCTGCACCCAGAAGAGGCAGCCAGTTGTTTCCGGCTGGCTGGAGCCCTTGAGCTGGAAGGCAGAAGCTGGCCTGAAGATCTTGGGGGTTCTCCTGCTTCCCATGAGGAAGGGAAGGGGGAAATGGCCCATGGCTGGTATGAGCCCAGGCGTGGCTCTCTCCAGGAACACGTGGCCTTCTTGCCTGCCCAAGCACCGCCGGAGGGAGACCTCAGTACGGTGGACGAGCTGCAGTGCTTGGTGGAGACGGTGTCCGAATACCTGGCCGAAAAGGAGGAAGAGATTAGCAGCTGGGAAGCCCTTCCACAGCAGGAAAGCAGGAATCACGGCCTCCCCGTCCAGGAAGCGGAGGAGGTGGCCCAGGCCAAGCAGGCCAAGGCAGCCCCTGCTGTGGAGGAGGAGAAGGAGAAAGAGAAGGAGAAGAGCGACAGCCGAGCAGAGGCCTTCTCGGACGTTCTGGGGATGAAAGACACAGCCCAGACCTTCTTCAGCTTCCTTACGGAGAAAGTGAGCTCTGGAAAGACGCTGCTCACGTCCTCCATGGAGAAGTTCGTGTCAGAGGTCCCCGTGAGGGACTCCTCCAACCAGCCTCATCTGGACGTGGAAGCGGAAAGCAGGCCTGATGTCGGCTTGCCTGAAGAAGAGCTGGCTTCCCTCCCCGAGCAGAGCCGGGCGAAAGTGGCTGGTGCTGCCAGTGTGAGTCTCCCAGAAGCCTCTGACAGGGATGACCAGGCCTGTCCGGCCCCTCCAGCCCTTGACCCTCCTGCAGATGACGCCGAGGGCCCGTTTCAGAAGACAAGTGCAGCTGTGAGCTCTCTCTTGGGCGTGTTCAGTTCTTTAAAGACCACATTGACGGAGAAGAAGGAGCCAAAGAAAGAGGCCACGAAAGAGGGAGCGGCCGTAGCAGCTGGACCCTCGCCCGTAAGTGGAGCTGAGGCCAGAGAGAAGCCTGGCGAAGACGGCACAGAACCCAGAACCTCCCCGCTGGAAACAAGGGAGGGGGAGCCAGCAGCTGATCCCACTGGGGGTCCAGCACCCTCCGCCTCCAGCTCCTGTGCTGGCGTCAGCCTGAAAGCGGGTTTTGCTGGCGTGGCTGTTCCCGGGAGGCCAGCGGAGTCTCCCAAAGTCCCCTCAGATGGGGAAACCCCTCCGGAGCCTTTGGCCCTTCGGCCTCCTGAGGACAAACCGCAGGAAGGGCCGAAGGAGGGCAGCCCCCAACCTTCAGAACAAAGAGAATCTCCCGCCGGTTTTTTTAGTCCTCTTAAAAAATGCTTCAGCCTGTTGCCACTTTCCGCCCCCGCTGACCCTCCGGCCAGAGGGACGTCCTTGGGCCTGGGGAAGCAGTGCAAGTCCGAAGACGATGTCAGGAAAGCCAGTTCCGCCAGCAGCAAAGCTCCCTCCTTCCCGTTCCCTGAGAAACTGCAGGTTTCCTTCCTGGGCAGCTTCAGCTTCTCAGACAAACCGCAGGAAAATAAGGGGAAACAAGGATTCTTCTCTTCCTTCCTGAAAGCTGCTCCAGCTGAAAACTCCGAGGCTCCCAAAGAGGGACCTTTGGGGAGTAATCCAGAGGTTCCCCAGGCTTCCCCCCCAAAGTCTCCGCCAGAGCACCAAGAGGAGCTGAAGGGGAAACCGGGAGCCGGCCCTTGGGGACCAGGAAGTGGCCCTCAGGAGGAGGGGGCTACAGGCCCTTCGGAGAGGGTGGAGCGTGGCAGGCGTGGTCACAGGGGCCTAAATGGTGTCGCAGGCAGAGGAGCAGCCGCCGCCGCAGCAGTAGCCACGGCCCCCTCGCAAGGTGGATCCGCCCTGAACCCGGCAGGGGGAAACTCAGAGGCGGATAGTGGAGTCGGAAGGGGCCGGACTCTGGCTGATGCCCAGGAAGGTTTCTTTCCCGGACTTTTCCGCTCTCCTCTGCCCGTCAGTTTATCCTCCAAGGAAGGACCAGAGGCTCAAGACAGCACAGCCGGCCCGAAGGACCGTTCACCTGGTTTGCTGTCTGGATTGTTTCCATTCAGTTCAGGGGAAAACCCACCTCCGGGGAAGGTGGAGAAGCCGCACCTGAGCTTTCTGGGTGGTTTGGGGCAGATCTTTGGAAAGAATGCAGAGGAGACTAATTCCAAAGTGGGGGGCTCTCCAGTGGCGCCCCAAACTCAAGAAGGCACCAAGGACCAAGAGGGCGCAGGCAGCTTCCTCAAGAACCTCTTGCACCAGGCGAAAGAGAAGGTGGAAGAGAGAGTGGCCCAAGCGGCCCAGGTGGAGGCCGGGCTGCCTGGCACAGGCGAGGAATCCATTGCCCTCCAGGCAGCATCCGTCCCTCTGAGCAGCCCCCAGAAGAAGACACACTTATCAACAAAACCAGCCCTTTCCAGTAACAACACAGAGCCTCGTGTTCCTCCAGGGCTTCCCCATGAAAACCTGGGGGGGCTTCTCAGATCTTCCTCACGGAATGCCGACTTGCTCAACTGGCCAGGAGAACCTCCTCCTTTTGAGGAAACCAGGAGTGGGTCCCCCTTGGAGAGGGACTACAACCCCAGGGGTGACCCAGCAAAGACGGTCCAGGCGTCCCTGCCTCTTTATTACGTTTTAAACCGGAATCCCGTCTCCTGGGATGAGGTCCTGACCTGGTCGGAATCTAGCAATGCAGGAATGGATTTGTGTAAAAGGGATGGGAGTGCCAGTCCAGGGGACTGGAGACCTAGTGAGAAGTTTGATCCGGCAGCGATCGATTTTAATGTCGTGTCGCTTGGACCACCCGATTTTTGCCTGGGGGAAAATGAAACGTGGGCAGCTCCTTATTTGAATGGAAGTCTGTCTCCACACCAGTTCAACTGCATTTTGGAAGACGGGCCGATAGATTTAAGCCGTTCATCTGCTTATGGCACTAATATGTGGACCCTAATTGATCAGGAGGCCCTGTACATGGAAGACCCTTGGCTGCTGGGCCACTGCCCGGAGTCCCTGGACTGGCTGGTGCCTCTGCTGCAGGGAGTGTGGTGGCCGTCGGAAGACGGTGATTATGGTTACTACATATACACTGATGGTCAGTATGTTTACTCCCTACTCACTGATTCTACCGGGCAGTTTGTCTACATCTGCACCTCCGATATTTACCCTCATCCAGACAGCTGGGAGGACAGTGACCTGGAGGGCTCTTGGCAAAGGGTTGTGTCGGAAGGAGACCTGGTTTCCGTTTGCGGCTTCAAAGTGCCCCTGGAAGATGAGTTATTCTGGTTGGATGAAGAGGAAGAGTGGGAGGGTTATTTTGTAAACAAGCCTCTTGATTTGTCTGTAGCTTTTCAAAGAAGGGACAAGTTTATGAACGTAGAAACCTTTTCCCAAGTGTTGGAGGAATCGGCTTACCACCAGAAAGAGAAGCCTTTGGACTTCTCAGGGTACGGGATTCTGCAACGCAATAAAGGGGCCTTTAGGCCTGAGGAGAAGAGGGAAGGGTCTGCAGAAGACGCGTCCTTTGACCTCCGGCCACATTTCAGGATGGCCCCTGGCGGGGGGCTAAAGGAGGAATTCCAAGCCAAGTCGCTGGATGTGGCTCCTAGGACGAGCATTTCTGAAAGCCAACAAGCCAAACCTTCTGGCCTTCAAATCTTTAAAGCTGCCCCCAAGTCTGACCTCCCACCTGTGTCCCTTGCGGAAGCAGAGACAGCCAAAGAAGATGAGAAGGGCCCAAGCAACAAGGTCTTCTCCTCTTGGCTTTCTGCCTTGGGTGGGCTGATGGGCCAGGGCTCAGGGAAGGACGTCGAGATGCTGGAGGATGCGGCAGAGAAGGACCAGGGCCCACGCTTGAGGTTTCCTGCCACACCTGGAACACCAGCCAGGAAGAAGGGAGAAGCTCAGCCAGAGCCCCTGCCTGTTTCCACTGCCCAAGAAGAGGCTGCGGTTGCCCTGCCTCCCACCCAGAACAGGGCTCCCCTGCGCAGATCCGCCTCCCCATTCAGCCGGGGTCTCACTTCCGACACAGTCGCCCAGCCGGACATCAATGCCAAGGCAGCTGCAGGGTCCCTGGGAGAGCCTGAAAACACGTGGCCAGCCCTGAGCCAAATAGCTGCTAAGGCCAAGGAGACCCTTTCTAAGAGTGACCTCAAAACAGGGGGTCCCGGAGAAGGCCCCCTGGCCCCTGCAGAACCAGGACTCCTCGGTCTCTTGAAGATGCAGGGAAGCAAGCCTCCATCGCAACCTCGGCCAACCTCTCAGCCCCATCAGGTGAAAAGTGAGACCCAGGGCCAGGCAGAGCCCCCGGGGGCCCCGTCCTTCTTCGGCTCCATCAGAGGCTTTTTCACCAAGGAGCCAGCCCCCTCCCCATCTGACAGCCCCTTCCCAGCCCTGAGCAACGGGCAAGTAGCCCAGGCACTGGCTCAGGAACCCAGTATGGGTCCTGCGTCTGAGGTGGGTGTCTCTTCAGAGCCACCTGGGGCAGGTGGGGCCAAGGAGGGCCTCTTCCCTAAGGAGCAGCCCCCCCAAAAGGCCAGAGAGAAATCGGCCAGGGTCAAGGAAGCGCCTCCTGCAGAGGCTGAGCAGGCAGCCAACTCACTCACAAGCCCTGCAATGGGGCGGCACAGCCCACCCCCAGAAGAGGGAGGCCTGCTCAGGAGCCTCTCTGGGTTGCTGGGGGACTCGGCAGCAAGGAAGTCCAGTTCCTTGAGCTCCAGCTGGTTCTCCTTGTTGGACAAAGGGCAGCCGGGAGCCTCGCCTGATAAGGTCCAGCCAGAGGCGGCCAGGCAGCAGCCCCCTGAGGAACCGGGGCCCAGACTCCCCTTTGGCTTGTCCCAAGCTGCCCCTCCAAAGCCTCAGCAGACAGCCGGCAGCTGGGCTATTTCCTCCCTTTTCCCTGCCTCCAAGAAAGCCGCTGCCCCGGCCCCAGCGCCTGTGCCCTCCCAGACTGCCAGAGGCCCGGAGCCAGAAGGCTTGTTCAAGATCCCCTTCGCTGGCAAGAAAGGGCTTCCACACAGCTCCAGCTTCTTCCGTTGGGCCGCCTTCTCCCCTGAAGAGCCACCGCCTGCTCCTGACAGAGGTCCCCTCGCCAAGCCACCTCCATGGCAAGGGAAGGAGGAACCGCTCCCGGGGCAATCCGCTTCTGCTGATGCTGGCGTTGGGACGGCCAGGAAACCAGTTGTGGAGGAGAAGGGCCCCATCTCCGGGGTTAGAGACGCTGTGCTGGGCACCCAGGAAGCTGATGGCTTGCAGGACGGGGCGAGGGAAGCCAGCACGCCAGTGGCCGAGAAGGCCAGGGAATGTGCCTTGGGAGGACCCCTTACGGCCAGCCCATCTCTCCAGAATGCAAAGCAAGAAGACCAGCCTGACCCTGCCTGCGAAGGTCCTGGAGTCCCGGAGGAGGGGACTTGCTCCTCTCCAGAAGTCCCAGAGGTTCCGGAATGGTTGCCCCAGAGCCCGACTGAGCGGGAGGAGACGGAGGGCTGTTTGTCTGAGAAGGAAGCCGCCCCCCTTCCAGATGGGAACGAAGCTTTGGAAAACACCGAACCCCCCGGGTCGTCTTCGGATCAGAGGAGAGCTGCTGTCCAAGGCTCGGGCCAGGAGGTGGTGCCGGAGCCCCCGCAAGGACTCGGCCCTCCTTCCCCGGCTGGAGCCCAGCAGGCTCAGGGCCAGGAGCCTCTCCCCAAGGTCCCACTGGAGGGGGAGCTGGACGGGCTGAAGGCGCCCGAAGAAGCTACCAGCAACAAGTCTGTTCTAGATTCCTCCGTGGAGACATTTTCAAGCTTCTTCACCAAAATGAAACCCACGAAAACATTCTCTGACTTTCTGGGCAGCCCACGGCAGGCTCCAGGCACCCCCAATCTGCAGAAGAAGAGTGCCTCCTTTTTAGGCAGCGCATTTCAGCAGGGTGGGCCTCCCTCCTTGTTCACAGGCAGCCTCTTTGGCTTCTCCAAAGGAGCAGCGGAACAGCCTCCTTCGAAAGCTTCCACGCCCTCAAAGCCTCCCCGCGTGGACTCGGAGGCGAAAGGAGCGGCGGGCTCAGTTCCAGGGAAGGAGCCTCTCTCCTCCACCCAAGAAAGCAAGGGGGCAAGGAGAGGCCAGGGCTCAGAAGCAGGACCCTCAGGGCAAGAGCCGAGTGTGGGGCCGGAGGAGACCGAGGCCAGAAGCGTCTTGAAGGAGGATGGGCTGTTGAGCCTGGCAGGAGAAGCCCTCCGTGTGGATCTGGAAAGGGAAGCCAGCCGAAAGCCGGACGCTTGCCAAGAGCCGAATGCTCTGGACTCCTTGACCTCAGAGAAGAGCCAAGGCCCCGAAGGGGGGCAGGTGGACCTCCTAACTTCGGATGAAATGAGGGAGGCCGATACGTGCGCCCAAGTTTCCAGCAAGGTAGCGGCAGCAGAATCTGTTGCAATGCTGGAGGAGGCCAAAGCAGCGACGTTGGAAGAGGAGGAGGCTGGGCCTGCTACGCAGAAGCAACTGGATCTGGAACCCCAAACGGGCTCTCCTCTTGGCCAGGAGGGTTGGGGAAACACGCCTGGGCGGGAAGCCGAGGCAGAGGACAACGGGAGCCAGCCGGGCATGGATGAATCGCCAGCCGTAAAGGCGCAAGCCAACATCTGTCCACCAAACGGAGGTGAGAGCCTAGGAGCGGCAGCTGAAACGGCTGGGAAGGAGGAGAGCCCTGATTTGCACCATGAAGGTGCGGACAGCGTCCGTGATGTGAAGCCTCCCCCCGTTGAGCAGGAGGAGGTTCCAGCCCCCAGTGAGAAGCCTCTGGGCGTTGAGGCCTTGGGGGGCCCCCCAGATAAGGAGCCTGCCGGTGGTGCCCCTGCCTCAGAGGCCAACAGCGCCACATCTGTATTCGAGATGTTAAGCAGGCCCCCTTGGCGCAAGTTCGGCTTTGGGTCTTCTAGCAGCAGCAGCATCAAACCGATGGGCTCCTTCTTCTCACCTGCGGCTTGCAAGACCCCCAGGGCTGAGCCAGGTCTCCGGCCCGGCTTGGGCAGCGTTTCTTCCGCTCTGTTTGGCGGAGGAAGCGATGAGAAGGGGGAGAAAACCGGGAGCCTCCAAGAGACGGTGTTCGGCAGGAAGCTGGACTTCTCCCTCCCTTGGCAGAAAGGCCCGAAAGAAAAGGAGGCGAAGAAGGGACCTTCCTCCGGGCAGGGAGCCCCCTGCGATGGCTCCTCCGGTCTGGAGCCCTCGGGCAGCCCTCAGCAGCCGTGGATGGGGGCAGGCCGGCTGGGGGGTCCAGCGCCCGAGTCCAGCCCCCCACCCGTGCAGGCGGACAGCTCAGGCGAGACGTTCTTGGGGGCCAGAACTGCTCCTGCTGCGGCCGAGCCTGGCCCAGGCCTGGAACTGGGGGGCCCAGGGCAGGAAGAGGGCCTGAGGGCCGTTCCTGGGGGCCCTCCTGCCCCGACCCTGGAAGAAGAAGAAGGAGAAGGAGAAGAAGACGGGGACACGGCCTCCATCCCTGGTCAAGCAGAGCAGAAGGACGGCGTCACTTGCCCAGAGGAGGAGCCCCATGTTGCTGGGCCTCGGCCGGTGGAGGAGAGCAGCCCACGACCGCCCCTCAAGCGCAGGCCAGTAGCAAAGGCAGCCCATAAATGGAGGCGGCCGGTCCATTTATGGGGCAAGAGCCCCGGTCAGAGGCCTCTGGCCCATCCCTCCGGCCTCCTGCGGCTGCCCGGTCCCTGGCGGGTGGCTGAGGGGGTGACCTTGAGCCCGTCCCTCCCTCCCTTCGTGTGTCCGTCTTTGAACGTGGATTTTGTAAGTCTTTGCAGACCTGAGGGGGGGGGGTTTCTGAGAACAGCCCACGGCTCCCACTCGCCAGGGGAGGCCCTACGCAAGGCTCTGCTCTTCTGCCAAGGGCTGAAGGGGGGGAGGCAAAATGGGTTGGGGGGTGCGGAGGCTGTTCTTGGGATCCCCCCGCCACCCCAGCTGTCACCCCACCTGCTTTTCCTCACGGCTGCCCAGTTGTGTCCATTTGGGAGCGGCCATCAGGGCTGAGCCGTGGCTGTGAGGGGCCGAGGGGGCATCCCGGGGGTCTCTGCTCTTCCCAGAGGGGTTTGGGGGTGGGCGCTGACCGTTTCTGGGCCCACCCACAGCTGCTGGCTGTGCTGCTGGTCTGGGCGTCCGGTTTCTGGCCTCAAGTGGCCCTCGGCCTCCCGGGGCTGTGTGGACGAATCCTGTGGGCCTCCCCAGGCCAGCCCTGCAGTGCTTGGCTCC